ATCTGTTAGTTTTGGTTCATATCTGTTAGCTTCAAAATCTAGTGAAAAGAGGGGAGCGAGCGGCGACTGGACGGAAAGAGGAGCTAGCGGCAGGAGCAGCTGAGCCCTCGCACGCCATGGTCTTTTTTCTCATTTTTTGGTATTATTTTGTCCAACTCCACATGAAAAACAGTTGTCTGTCTGACAGTCAAATTTGAATTGCAGCGTCTGTCTAGCTGAGCATAGTTTCACAATTGGTGGAATCTTACATAAGATGTCTGTCTGGAAAGAGCTGCTGCACATGTGAAGAAACAAGGCAGCCTCATTTGCCCCATTTGCTGCTCAACTTGGAAAGAGTTGCCTGTGTTTGAAGATTCTCGAAGTTGAATGCTCTCATAGTTTTTTTGTTGTATTTTTGTTTGTTGAAAATTGGTTTGTAGTTGTATGTGAAGTGAAAAGAGTTGTCTGGCATTCCATTTGATTTGTCTGTAATGTGAAGATAGTTGTCTTTTTGGTGAAATTGTGAAGTAGTTGTGTATATTTAGATTGCTCTGTGATGATATTGAGATGTCTGGCAAGGCATATTAGTTGTCTGGCACGTTAAATCCAATTGTTTAAAATTGGTTTGTAGTTGTCTGTCATGTGAAAGTAGTTGTCTGACATTCCATTTGAGTTGTCCGTCAATTTATTGCAACAAATTATTTGTTGTGAATAGATAAACAATACATATATCTAGACAGACATTAGAGATAATCATACATACATTATTTTCACGTAGAAAGACAATAACTTTACACATACAGACAATACCATAGATACCCAGACATAGAGTACTTAATTGGCCCAGACTACTAATGTCTGGCCCAGACAAAATTTGTCTGGCTATACGACAAAGAGTACTTAATTGACCCAGACTACTAATGTCTGGCCAAGACAAAATTTGTCTGGCTGTAGGACAGAGAGTAGTTAATTGTCCCAGATTATTAATGTATGGCCAAGACAAAATTTGTCTGACCGTAAGATAGAGAGTATTCTTTATTCTAACAGGAAACCTTACTCTTCTCCTTGTAGAGATTACATATGTAATTCATTCACCACATGTGTCTTCACATTACCAATACAACCATGTTTCAAAAAAAAGACACACACATTTATATAAAAACTACATTACCAATACAACCATGTTTCCAAACAAAATCACATACATTTAAAGTTGTCTGGCCACACACACATTTTATGTATGACTCTAACAACTATAAAATCACGTCAACTTTAAACAACTATGAAACCATGTTCACTTTATGCTAGACAGACACTGCAGTTCCAAATTGTCTGTTCGCCAAACAAAATACAAATAAATGACGAAAAACAACATATTCTTCTCCTAGACTAACAAATACAGACACTGCACTTACAAGTTGTCTGTTAGACAGACAACCCTTTTTTTCTAAAACGCACCAAAAAATCAAGAAAAAAATCAAGAAAAGTAGATCTGCTCCAAGTCATTCAAAGTTTCTTGGTTTGTACTTTCGTCGTTGTCTCCCCACGTCACCAAGCTCTCCTTTTCGTTCGATTACTGTAGCTCTTCCATTTGAAACGAAAAAAATAAGCCGACGAGGAGAGAAGCAGGAGAAGAAGCTTGGAGGGAGAAAAGATTGAAAAAATGAGAGAACTTGATGGGGAGAGATCTTGAAATGGAGAAGAAATCAAGTTTTGGAGAAAATAGAAAGAAAGGGGAGGGGAGGGGCGTGAAAAGAGAAGATGGAGGAGAGAGGGAGTGAAGAAGAAGAAAAGTGGGGGAGGGGGAAGGGTTTTTGGAAAAGGGGTAAAAGGAATGGTAAAAAAGGAGGTATTTATATGAGGTAGGGAATGGGGTAAAGTTGGGGTACCTATAGCAAAATTGTAAAATTTATGCTATAACTAAGAGTTGAAAAAACAAATGCATTAACCATTATTAGACTATTTGGTAATACTAAAATTGGCTAAATTAATTGAACTGTTAAAATTGATGACATTTTGAATAAACTATTTGAATTGGCCCGGTCTTCTAAATTATGGAAATATTATATTTAAAATATATACTCCCTTCATTCTTAAATATGAGTCCTCTTAGGCTTTGACACAGGTTTTAAGAGGAAAATAATATGGGTAGTGTAAAAGGTGTAGTGGGTTGTGTGTAAATGAAAAATAGGAAAGAGAAAGGGGTAATGGTAATAAAAGTGGGGTATAAAGGTATTTTGATTGAAAAAACTTACCAAAGATGGAAAACGGAACAAATAATTAAAAGCGTCCCAAAAAAATACGAGACAGTTAATAAATAACGGAGGGAGTATTATTTTATTTATAAAATAAATGAAAACAAGTGTATAAAAAAACTCAAATGACCTCTATAATACTTTTACTCAATTATATCAGAAAGTAAATTCAACTAACCCTTGTTATTTTAATTAATATACGCTTCAATGTGTGAAAACAAAAGTCGTGTGTCTGTTAAAAATGATTAATAAGTTTGAGAAACTGAAAATTAACCACATAATTGATAATTGGATTGGAATTACTGAAATTAATTCCCCATAAAAAGAAAAGGCATTTAGAGGAAATTTAGACTGCAATTTTCTCGAAACGATTTTAGGGTCGAAAGAGTTCATTTTTTGTGAATGTTTGTACTATCTATATGTCTACGAAAAGTTTTTGATTTTATAATTGACTTTTACTATTCTAGATTTAAAAAGTTTGCAATTAAAGTTTTGAAAAGTTTTTTATACTTTTAAAACTAAATCATATTTAAACCTAAGTTCCCAGTTTAAGTTTTAAAAAATACGTAGTACTTTTTGTACCAATTTTATGAATATAATTTTTATGCTTTATGAATAAAAAAATACACTTTTCCTAAAGGGACATGTTTTTGACTTTTTTCAACAATTTTTATTTTAATCATATAGTGTCACGGGCACTAATCTCGCTATTTTTATTTTTGTAAATTTTTTCTAATCACACATTTTATGTAATATATTTTTATATTCACATTTTTTCTTTAATATACGGAGTATATTTTATCACTTTTATATGTGTTTAGACATTTTTTAAGACATTGAGTTTGTATATTTTATAAATTATATCTTCTTATTCGCGATTTACATATTTTTAAACGTGAGTTATATCTTCTTATGCATTTGCTACAAACATCTTATTCGCGAGTTACATCTTCTTATGCGTGATTTACATATTTATTTGCACGAGTTATATCTTCTCATTCATGAGTTACATCTCTTTTATGCACGAGTTACATCTTTTCATACGCGTGTTACATTTGGAATTTCCGCAACACGTTAAATTTTGCATACATGTAAGTAAAATTTTCTATCAACGCGAGTTACATCACAAAATAAACTCATGCTATTGATGAAACAAAAACAATGTGATAGAGTAAATCTAGAGAGAAGTGAGAGCTAGAGAGAGGAGTTGTGTGATTGCTCTGTATTAATGAATTCTCAGAACCCATACAACTACTCCCAAAAGGAGTATTTATAGGAACAATTAGGGCTGGGCTCCCAAGTCTTGGATTTGAGAGACCCGTTTACAACTGGACCGCTATTGGGTCGGGTACAAAATAAATGATAGAGTATACAAATGATTAAGTACAGAATCCTTTTCTGGGAGTCCTTCATGGCCGACGAGGGTCACGGCCGACGAGGACATGGCCGACGAAGACCCGGCCGATGAGGTCACCCGGTTCTTCTGGCTTCCGGATCATATTCTGGGTTGACTTTGTTTCAGCCGACAAGGGTCCACTAGGTGGTCGTTGTGTCTTCTGTCCTCTTGAGTATGTGGGTCCTGGGGTCGAGGCCCATATACTCCATCACAATGATTTTTTTAAAATCGTTTATAATGGACCTAGTATTAAAAATAAAACATATTCACTATATACGTAAAATAATTGAGTAATTAGACTTTTTCAGATCATTGTTTACATTGAAATCAATTTTTATTTGTTATACTCTACATTGGACAAATTACATTTCGACTGACTTGCAGTTACATCACCCTGCTACAGAAACAAAATAACAAGGTTGTTGTTCATGTGTGTTTTAACTGTGAGAGTATCATGTTCACCGTGGACTGCTCTAACGGCAAACTAACTGAATATACATAATATATACTACGTACGTAGTATATTTACATGAGGAAACTTGAAGGATCCTAAATAAATGTGCACCAAAATAAAATTCTATTATTTTGGGAGTATCATATCGATACGTTTACTTTAAAAAAACTGATCAATTTGGTCATTTATTTAATTTTTGAATTGTAATAGCAATTTTTTATTTTAAAAACTCCAAAAATATATTAAAATATGAAGAAATGTGAATAAAAACTGTGAAAAAAATCAAAATGTCAAATTCAAAATTTTGAAATTTCGAAAGTATTTGTACATTCTCATCTATTTAAGAGGTTTTTACATTTTCTTTTTTAATTTTTTACATTTTCACTTTCTTTTTTAAGTTTCTGATTTTTTTTTACTTTTTAAAATTATTTATCTATCTTTACATTTATGCTATTTTTATATTATTATTAGATTATGGGGTAATTTGAGTTTGCACCTCATATTATTGTCTAAATTAGACTTTGCACCCCATTTTTAAAAATTTTTGTTTTTGCACCTCAACCTCATATAAAAAGACAAAAATGCCCTCAATCAAGAATATGTTGAAGGTCAACATAATTGTTAATGGAGAGGCATTTTAGTCTTTTCATATGAGGTTGGGTGCAAAAAAAATCTTTAAAAACGAGGTGCAAAGTCCAATTTAGACAATAATATGAGGTGCAAACTCAAATTACCCCTTACATTATTTTTCAAATTTAAACATTTTTACAAGAGTTTTGATAGCCTAAAGCCCCAAATTTATCTTTTTTAGTAAAAGAACTGAAGTAGTAGTAAAAAGCTCTGTTTGATCCTTTTTCCTATTTTTTCCCTCCCAACCAAGCTCCAACAGAAAATGAGAAAACTGTAGAAAACTGACCACGCATCGTTTTTTACTGTGCTTTTTCATCAGCCCTTTCTCCTCCTCCATTTGCATTTTGAACATGGCCCCTGAACTTTTACCATTTTTTCAAATACATACAAAAAAACAAATGCCATCTCTCTTTCTACATACCCAAAGCTTTTTTACTGTACAACTAAAACAAAATTTCTTCTTCACCATCTATTATCCAGAAACACCATTGTGTTGGGAATAAACACACTCACCTTCCCCATGCCTCAATATAGCATACTATTTAAATAAACAAATGATGTTTTAACAAATTTGCCTCAACACCCCCCTCCCCCAATCAAATGAGCTGTTTGTCTTCCCATCCAACCATCCGACCACCGTGCTTTTCCGTAAAGCTAAGCGCCATTCAATAGATCTTCGTGCTTGTGTTTTTGTTCTGATGACAGCATCAGTTGCTTTATTCTTCATCTCCTTAATTTCCATTCCTGTTTATGATGACTTATCATCCTCTTCATCCTCTGAAAAGATGCTACTGATGAAATAACGGAATCTTTTGGAGTAGAGCTTTGGGTCAACAGCGGAGATGGAGGTGGAATCTACTTGGAACGACTTGTATGCGTGTTCGAGCTTCTTGCTGATGTCATAGTCTTGAAGAATGTCTATTATGCCCAAGTAAAGGATCACATTTGATGTTTCCTTACTACCCTGTTGTCCAAATGTTTTGCTGCCCGGATCATGATCCATTCGAGGCATGTGTACTGCCTTTGCTGGAAGATTTGCACCTAAACCAGTGTGTGGTGTCTGTCTGAGAAAGTGTCAAGACAATTGTTGAAGTTAACGGAAGTATTTATCAGATTTAGGCTCCGTTTGGTAGCCATGCCTTATTATGCTTACCAGCTCAATAAGTTAGCTTTGGACTTGATTAGTGGCTTAAATGGGTATTACCAAACCCTTTTCCTAAAAAATCAGCAAATTCAGCCAAATAGCCATGACCAAACAGGGCCTTAGACTATGAGTAACTGGCTTACTTCTGGTACTTCAAATCAATCATGTTTTACTGTTATAGAAAAGCAGACCAAACATGCAACAGTTGTTTAAGAAAACAAGATTTGTGTTATTCCTTGTCAGCCACAGACTATGGCTCAAGTAGAGACACAATGACATTACTGCTGCACCAATAATGGATGGGTTCAATCAGGGGTGGACATTTAAGTCCAGATTGACCAAATGGAATTCACCCTAACCAAAACCAAACAATATGTAACTCAGCTTTAGGTTGATGATGTTTCTCCATATCATATTAAACCGAACTAATATGAACAGGAAAAACCTATAGAAGTCCAATACCATTAAAAAAACTCCAAATAGAACAAAATTGAACCAAAGTAAGTTTCTCAAACCCGTTTTATACAAAACTAAACCAGAAAGTCAAAAACTCAAACAGGAATGTCCACCCCTAGGTTGAACCCATCAAGTCTGAGAACGAAACCATAAGTTAACCCTTGGATAGACCTTTACAGGCCAAGGCCAAATGCAGCTCTCATTCTGGGACACAATTATTATAAGGGGGTTTTCCTTAAATATTACTCCCTCCAGTCCCAAAACAAATTCACACTTACTATTCATTAGTCAACTTAAATCACTCTTAATGTTTTATTTTATATATCAAATTTAAATTTTCTTGATCAGACTTTGTAGCGGTTTTAATGTAGTTTCTAAATATGTAAATTTTATTTGCTAAAAATAATCCGAGCGTGAACAGGGATCGAGTTGCTTTATCGTCGTAAACCGTGAGTGAATTTCTTTTGGGACCGGAGGGAGTACTATATTAGTAATAAAAATCATAAACATAAATATTACTTGGTAACTATTAGTGACTATAATTGTGTTCAAATTTATGTCGTAGTAAGTTACTACGGTGTAACTTTGAACACAACTATAGTCACTAATAGTTATCGAGTAATATTTTTGTCCACCACATTTTAAAGAGTAATATTAATGGATTTTTTTCTTATAATAACGCTTTTTATAACAATTGGACAATCATGTTACCAACTATTATTGTTTGTATGAATACTACGTAGTATTTTTCATTATTTTTATAAAGAGGGCTTCATGCAACAAATGAAGCGCCTTACTTGCTCACTAATGCACTACTCTAACAGCCAGGAACAAAAATAATGGTATAGCTAGACAGACCAACCCGGGGCCCAACCCATGCATGTTTTGCCACTTTTTTCAAGTAAAAAAATAGTATGAAATTTACTTCGTATATAAATGAATATTTTTCTAGCCCACTCCAAATTCAAGCTTCGGCCTTCGGGTAGCACGGAATTTGCACATGAATAAAAATGAATAATAATAATATAATACTAGTAACAAATAACAAATTAACAATAAAGTAATGATAAAAACAACAACATTAATAGTAATCTGCTATTAACTTCAATTTCCTACTTATCAGTTATCACGATGAGATTCTAAAGGTTTTTGCATAGATCTGGCCTGTTAAAATCCAACAATAATAATTGACTGAATAACGGGTATTAATCAAACTATAATAACTAATGTTCCATTGCTAAGTGTTCTTTAACTAATTTTGCTTTTACCGTCTACCAGTAAAAACTTCATTAGATATAGGAATCAAATGATGCATCTCTTCGAGCAAGAGTTCATATGGATTATGGACTAGATGTCAACAAATTAAAAAAGGATAAAAGGAAAAGAAGAGAGAAGCAACATACTCTGAGTCCATTATCAGCTCCTCCTCTTGTAGCATCATTGAGTCACACACTGAATACTCTCGAGCTCCTCTCTTCTCTGTATATATCCACAGAAAACCATTTTCTTATTATACATTTAGGTAATTCTGATAAACAATTTAATACTGGATAGCAGGGAATTTAACAAAAACAAAAAATGAACCTACCAAAATTATCATCAGGAGACAATCCACCATTTGTATCATTACGGTTGAAGTTACTGCAAAAATGAACACCGATCAAGAGGCTGTAATCCATTATGTTCTCAGCTTCCAAGAATTGGCAATCTTTGTTGACTTGCCTGTGTAGGAAAACTAGACAATTAATAGATTATAAAAACAATCAAAACAAACAGAAACGTTTGTTGTTACTAATGACGAGCATTTATTCAGTTTACCTAATAAGCTTTTCAAACCGGGATCTTTGAAGGTGAAAGACAAGATTGAGATCAAGGTCCTTCAAAGTGGTTGTCTCATCAACCTGCCCTTCAGGCTTATCGGTTGACCGTCCATAGGAGGACCCCTTTACATCAAATCGTCTATGGATACCATACTTTGAGTAGAACATATTCCCCATTACAATGAAACGGGTCTGACATTCCATTTTCAATATGTTAAAACTGTAAGGAGTAAGTTCACAGAAAAAACTAGTCTGAATGCAAGAATAACACCCACACCTAACCCAAACACCATATTAATGAATTATAATTAATAGTTTAATACCAATTCGAAAAGCATACCTTTTGACCTCCAACCGGTTTAACACAGTGGGCACCAAAGAACCTAGTGACCAATGAGTTTTTGTACTGGCAAACATGTCTGTTGTAACTTGCTAACATTCTAATCAGCACCTGTAACAACAAAGAATTACATGTCTGGCATTCATGGTTCATCCAAACAGATTAAGAAACTCAATTAATAAGTATAGTATGCATATATAATGACAAGAAATGCAGATTAAGAACTCAATTAAAAGAAGTGCAAAACTGGAAGAAAATATTCAATTCTTCTGGAAAACAAAAATGACAGATACTCTAAAAAATGCCTCATCAAGAAATCAGGTTTTACTAACCTTGACTTCCGATTTCTTCACGGTCTTAATGATGAACTGATCATCCTGAGTTAGATAGAAGACACTCCCACTCTTTCCAGGGGAAGAGAGTTCTCTAAGTGCGTCATTTGAACAAAGAGCTGTCACATATTCAGCTGAATTGATTCCAAAGAGATCCCTAAGCCGTCTAAGAACAACAATAGCAAAAAAGAGTACATCATGGCCTACTTACATAAACGCCACATAACCAGATATTATGAAACAGGACAAGGCATAAAATTCCTAAAAAACGTACTTGAAAACAACTGGGCAGTAATCCTTCCATTTGAAATCGGGAGCATGATGGGCAGGAGTGCATTTGGATCCCTCCGGTGGAAACCTGGTCCAGAACTTCTCATATGGATCAAAATCTGCACTCCTTAATTCTCGCATGACGGAACCATGCCTTTCTACTGAAAACCTGTTTGTTTCAATTCATTGCAGACATAAATAACCTTTGGTTGACTGCTCATAACAAGGCATTGAGTATTTATCTATATTATTTTACCTTATACCAAGCTGAAGACTGACAACCAAATCATAATTCTTATGCCCCTTCGATATTGGTTGCCCTGGTTTCTTCATTTCCACACCCTCTGATCGACAGGGGCTCTTTTGTAAATCAAGGCTGAAATCTCCTTCTGAGCTTTCACTGCTCCCTTCATCCTCATTCCTTTGAAGATACATGGACGAGGCCTCCACCGTGTCCACGATATCACAAGTGATATCCCCAGCTTCACCCTCGGATTCCCATATGCAAATCCTAGGAACGTTCAGATTCCGGTCACTGACATTAGTCCCACTCGCAGAGGACCCTCTCCGGTTGTGGGCCCCATTGCAGCTGGTGAAATCTTGAGAGGAGGAGTTGTTATCCCCACTGGCGTAAGAGATCCTCCCGTCCGGCCAAGTGAAAACGCCGTTTCCTTTGGGGATTCCGTTCTCCCAATCCCCTTCATACCTTTTCCCGTTCGCCCAAATCAAAACCCCTTTGCCGGACATAACCCCGTTCTTCCACTCCCCAACGTACTCATTCCCGTTGCTCCAAACGTACCTTCCTTCACCGTCCTGGAAATTACACTTCCACGACCCCACATACAAGTCGCCGTTCGCGTACCGCTTCTCCCCGAAGCCGTGTTTCCGATCCGCCAACCACCAGCCGCGGTAGGTGTCGCCGTCGGCTCCGATGAAAGTCCCCTGACCTTCCATACTCCCAGCCCGAAACTCCCCTTCATAGGTAGCTCCGGACGGCCACGAGAACTTCCCCTTCCCACTTGCCGTTCCTCTCCTCCACTGGCCTTCATACATACACCCGTCAGACCAGAGATACTTCCCGCTGCCATGCGGCCGGTTTCCCAAGAATGTACCAGTGTACAGATCTCCGTTGGGCAAAACCTGCTCGGCAGTAGTAGTTGCGGCGGCGGATTCCCCAGTCACCGCCATAAACGGCGGGAGGATTACCACATCGCCTCCTTCTCCTCCCTGAGCTACGAAATCACCGGGTTTAGTCTTCTTGGCGACACCGCCGGCGCAAAAACTGGCATCGGTTTCGCGCATGATGGGCAGGTGAAACGCAAAACCCAGAAAAGTGTGCTACCGGTGTGGGAGACGAGAGGCCGGAGCAGAGAAAGCCGACAACATTACCGGCGAGTTGGCAACAGTTGTCACCTGTCAGAGTAGCTTTTGCTTTTCTTTTTTGTGGGTTGAAAGAGAGTCGCAGTAGTGTGGTAGTGGAGGGAGCAGTAAAGGAAATGATTTTTGGGATTTACGTCTGTATGTCTGTCTGGTTCGAGGCGCGTTTGTTTGCCTGATTTGCGTATGAGGCTAGAAATTTGCCCAGGAAAAAATGAAAGAAAGATAGCAATAGAAATAAACGAAAATGGATGGGGAAGCTGCAGAAAAATTCAAAAGATTGGAAGAGGAGGGGGAGGGGGTGGGGAAGCGGACAGCGGTGGCTTTTCTTGCCTCGTCAGGCGAGTCAGTGACGCTGACGTGCTACCATTTCATTTTCTTCTCTTTCCTTATACTCCCTCCCTTTTTCTATACTCCCACCGTTTTCTATTAATGGTCTCAATATGTTTTTCTCTCATTCAAAGAAATTCATGAGATACAAATTTAAAAATAATGTGAAATTACAAAATACTTTTGGAAAATGGACATCTTCTATACAATTTGATCTCAACCCTTCATTTAAATTGATCTGGACCTCTCATTTTTCTGATTCTCTTTCCTAGGTGATTCTCTTTCCTTCAATGATCGCAACTCTTTTCCTCCGGTCTATTGCTTCTGTCTCTGCAACTCATTCTTTTTTTCCTTCAATTTCATGCTAATTTCTCTCAATCCATTCGAATTTCTTTTACCTCCATCTCAGTTCACGAGATTTCTTTCGCTCCTGCTCTCCATTAACTCAGGTAGGGTTGTGACGTCATCACACCACTCATGGAGTCATATCATGGTAATATCTTCCCATTCCTATTTCATTTTCTCCATTTCTGATGTAGATTCCCGTTTTTTTTGTGTTTTTCCTACTCAATCTTATCAAATTTATTTGAACTTAGGGGACCTCGAACTGAATCTATCCCTTTCACTGTATTTCTTCCATCGCTGCTCGGGTTTTTCTCACATTTTGGCTGGAGTGCATTTTTTCACCAAATTTGGATTTGAGTTGAGAAGGTAAAACATTTTACAGTGAAAGATAAGGGTTTTATTCCTCCATTTCAATTTCAAATATGCTAATTTTTTCATTTAACTACAATCTTCATTCCATCTCATCTCATATCAGTTCCAAATTTGGATTTAACTTACGGGAATTTGCAATGTTACACATGGAAGAGAATGTTTAATTTTATTCCGTTTTCATTATTATATCTTTCTTCTATGGCCTCCATGTAAAGTCATTGGCTCAATCTAGTGAAGTTGCAGAATTTGTTAGGGTTAGTTTTCCATTTTTACAGAAGTATTGGGCTTTTTAAATTGTTTAATTGAACCTTCGAGTTGTTGTATAGTCAGTATGTGGTCCATGGTAATCTATTTGATAGTATATCTCAAATAATTCTTAAAAGTTATACGAACTCTACATGTTCTTTAACTAAAGTTATACAACTCTTCTCTCAAAAAAAAGTTATACTAATCATGCATTCTCAATATCTCAATTCGATGCTAAAAAAAGTAAAAAGTAATTCATAGATGATTATTAACAAATCTGGAATCAATTGTAGTATAGCTGAAATAATTCTTAAAAGTTATACTAACTCCACATTTTCTTTAAATAAAGTTATACTAACTCTGCAGTCTGCATCCTCAATATCTCAATTGGATGCTAAAAAATAGTAAAAAGTAATTCATAGATGATTATTAACAAATCTGGAATCAATGATGTAGACTGAAGTATTATTCAGCATATCTGCATATATGTTCGATTTGTTAGTAGCTAAATCAGTGAATTGTCACAAGATCGGTAGTCTTATACCAAATGAAGGACAACGTCCAAAATTCTTACAGATGTATTTGACTGGTCCAGAAGAAGATGTTGCATCTAGAATCTCATCTGTGAGATTAGTTAATCATTATAATTTTTTTAGAAAGTTAACTCTATTTTTTTTTTAATTTAAACTAAAACTATACTACCTTCAATATATGAATTCTTTTCTATATTAAAATTTCAATTTCAATATTAACAATTTTGACTATATGCATTTTAGGACCTCTGGTGGAACTGCATTACATGATACATTAGTATCCGATTTGCAAGATATGTTGGATGCGTACAATGTTCACGCACAATCATTTAGGATGGCACGTGATAGGTTTAATGAGACTAACTCTATCTCTTTGAAGATGAAGCTTACTGGTAAAAGGAATTTAGATGGACGGACTAACAATACCCCTACCGCTCGTGAGGTAGCCGCACTTATAGAGGGGGACTTTAGTTTGAATCGAAAAGAGAGAGATGTTGTTCTTCAGAAGAAATCCGGAAAGTTTCAAATTATATCTGAATGGAATCCTTCTTTTCTAGGATTACAATATTTGTTACTTTTCCCCTATGGTCAAGATTGTTTTAAAGAGGATGTTAACCTCACACGTGCATCTCAAGCTACCACAAGAGGAAGAAAACATGTTACAATGAAAGAGTTCTTCTCATACATGTTGCAAGAAAGGAAGAGCGAGTCCCCTTACATATTGAGATCGAAGAGATTATTCCGGAAATTTATTGTTGATGGATATACCATGATTGAGTCATGTCGTGTGACATATATTAGACTACATCAAAAGGACTTGCGAAGTGAACTATATACGGGATTGGCTGATGCTGTCGGTCATGGTGAAACTGACGGATCCAGGTTGGGACAACTCATTGTACTTCCTAACTCATTCACGGGAAGTGCACGTTACATGATTCAAAACTATCAGGACGCGATGAGCATCTGCAGGTGGACATGATACCCACAACTCTTCATCACGTTTACATGTAACCCAAAGTGGCCTGATATTTTTCGCTACATCGAGTGTAGAGGACTTGCTCCGGATGATCGTCCAAATATCATTTGTAGAATCTTAAGATAAAACTTGAAATGCTCATAAAAGACTTGAAAGAAAATAGACTATTCAGTGAAGTTAAAGCAGGTATGAGCTGATTCTATTAATTAGTTAGTGAAGTTTTATGTAATTACATTACTATTAATACTCTTCTCCAACATAAACAACTATAATTTCATGTGATGACAAAATAACACATAAATAATTATATCCTATGTAGTTGTATACACTGTGGAGTTTCAGAAACGTGGATTGCCACATGCTCATATTATGTTATGGTTGACGCGAAAGGACACAACTATATTGGCATCAGACATTGACAACATTATCTCAACTGAGATTCTGGATGAGAAACATGAGCATGATTATTATGTTGTTGTCAAAGAGTTAATGGTGCACGGGCCTTGTGGTGTTCTGAACAAATCTTCGCCGTGTATGGAGAATGGTCGCTGCACGAAAAACTTCCCGAAGAAATTTGTGAGACGTACTACAATTGATGGAAGTGGATTTCCCATTTACAGACTAAGAGAAAATGGAAGGAGTGTAATAAAGAATGAGACTCCTCTTGACAATAGATTTGCCATCCCTCATAACCGTACATTATTGCTCAAGTGTGGGGCTCACATTAACATTGAGTGGTGTAATCAAACTCGTGCAGTGAAATACCTCTTCAAGTACATTAATAAGGGTAATGATCGGATCACGGTAGCATTCTCTGAGGCATCCAACAATTGTAAGCCAGAAAAGGTCGATGAGATCAAAATGTATTATGATTGTACATATATCTCTGCATGTGAAGCAGCTGGGAGAATCTTTGGATTCCACATTCATTATAGGGACGTCGCAGTTGAACGTCTAAGCTTTCATCTCCCTGGGCAACATAGTGTGTACTATAATCCTAAAGAGTCTGCCAGTTATGTTCTTAGACGTCCTACTATCCACACTACTAAGTTTCTAGCTTGGATGCATGCAAACAGTGTGTATCCTCAAGCTAGGAGCTTGACTTATGCTGAATTTCCTACCAAGTTCACGTGGAAAACGAAAACGAGAGAGTGAGTACCAAGACAAAGAAGTACCGCAATTGGAAGACTATACTTCATGCGACCTGGAGCCGGAGAGAAATACTTCCTCCGTTCTTAAATAAGTGCAACAGTCAACATTTCACACTTGCCGAGACACAACTTTGACCATTAATATATATAATTCTCTATTGGTAAAAAATTTAAAAAAATTAGTATTTGAAAATTTACAATGAGACAAATTTAATAATATATTTTTCAAAAAAATATATTAATACATCAATAAATAAAATGTAGTCAAAGTAGAACATGTGAATAGTGTAAAATTTCACATGTTGCACTTATTTAAGAACGGAGGTAGTATTATTTAAGGATGCTCCTTGGTGTCATGAAGGGGTTCAGGAGTTTTGAAGAACTCAGAACAGTTGACGATAAAGACTATATAGATGGACTTATATAACAAAGTCATTGGGCAACAACGCATGAACTTCGCGTCACATTTGTTCATCTTTTACTACAAGAGTCATTATCTATGCCCGATATGTTTATTATTTAATGACATTCCTTAAATTTAGATAAACTTAATAAATGCCAATATATTAAGAGTGATGTAGATTTACAATAAGCAAGATGTTTTGTAATTAAAAAATATTGTTTCATATATATTATAGTTAAAGATCATTATTCACTATTATCAAACAGTTGAGAATTTTTATTGTAATAAATTGCATATTGATCTGAGGGTAAAATTTACTCTTATGTCGTAGATAGTTTTTAAATATGAAGTACTTCTCTTAAAAAGTGTTCAAAAATAGTTCAATATAATCAATTTAATCAACGATCTTTTTAGATAGTAGTTGGTTTAATAACTTGTTTCCACATCATCATATTTACAGATGAAAGTCAAATTGTTTATGATACACACAAATTCAATTATTTAAGCATATAGAAATTTAAAATACATCTTAAATTTATTAATATTAAAATTGCACTAACCGTTATGTTTTTTACAGAACTGCAGCTCGATGAGAAGCAAATAAAGAATTATTGTTTGTTGGAAGTTGAAAAACTTCTACAACATCGTGGAAAGTCTCTATTCTACTATGACGGAATGCCTCGAGTGACAGATCTTGACATTCCCTCTCTTGATGATGTTTTGATACACGAGGAATTGAGATATGACAGACTTGCTTTGGCGGAGGAACATGCTAAATTAATCTCCGCCTTGACGGACGATCAAAAGCGTGTTTACGAGACAATAGTGAGTTCTGTAGAGGTCAACCGTGACGGTGTGTTCTTCTTATACGGGCACGACGGTACAGGGAAAACATATCCGTGGAAGACCTTATCAGCATATATAAGACATCAAGGAAATATTGTGTTGAACGTAGCTTCAAGTGCGATTGCATCATTGCTGCATCCAGGTGGAAGAACGGCACATTCCAGGTCGGGTTTTTTAGTTTTTAAAACTTATAATTCCAAATAAATACTAAGACAATGAATCGTAACTTTCAGGTTTAAAATCCCACTCACATCAGCGGAAGATTCAACTTGCAATATAAAACCAGGAAGTGCGCTTGCGAAGCTGATTCAAATGACAAAATTGATAATTTGGGATGAGGCACTCGTGACTAATAAGTTTTGCTATGAAGCTCTTGATAGGACTATGCGGGATATTCTTCGACATTCATATGGTTGTGATGGAATGAAACCTTTTGGTGGAAACACAATTGTCTTTGGCGGAGACTTTAGACAGATTTTACCAGTAATTCCAAAGGGTAGCAGGCAAGATATTGTGCAGGCGACTTTAAACTCATCCTTCATTTGGCCGTTTTGCAAGATACTGAAGCTAACGAAGAACATGAGAGTGCGAAGTGGATCAAACGATCTTAATTCTGCATACATACAGAGATTCATTGATTGGATTTTAAAGATAGGGAACGAGGTTCTAGGTGACAATGAGGATGGAGAATCATATATTGACATACCCGAAGAATTCCTCGTGCCTTGGATTTCTGATCCAGTTACTTCTATTGTCCAGAGTACATATCCCGATTTCTTGGCACACTTCACATCCCCTTCATAATTAATGTCAAGAGCAATACTTGCGCCAACAATAGACGGGGTAGACACGATTAATGATTACATGCTCGCACAACTACCATCAGAGATGAAAACATATTTCAGCTCTGATTCTGCATCATTATCTGATTCTGATAGTTGTTTGTTGCAAGAGATCCATTCTCCAGAATTCCTTAATGGAATCAAATGTTCCGGAGTGCCTAGCCATGAGTTAAAATTAAAAGTGGGTGCCCCTGTGATGCTTATGAGGAATCTTGATCAATCATTGGGATTGTGTAAATGGCACTTGACTTTTAGTGACCAGACTTGGAAAGCATGTTATTGAGGCCCAAATGTTGTCAAGGCCAACTGCCGGCCAAAAACATTTCATTCACTGTCTTACCTTGACTCCTTCTGATGTCAGTCTGCCATTCACCTTCCAGCGTAGGCAATTCCCTCTGATGGTTAGGTATGCTATGACTATAAATAAGAGTCAGGGCCAGTCATTGGAAAATGTGGGAATATTCTTAGAGCGACCGGTTTTCACCCATGGGCAGCTTTATGTTGCTGTATCAAGAGTCACGAGTCCAGCTGGTTTGAAGTTTTTGATATGTGACGACAATGGTAGACCGACAAACTCCACATTAAATGTTATATACAAAGAGGTCTTTACCAGTTCTTAATATTACATTTTGTCTTGAATAAAATTGAAAGCTTTTTATTTCAAATCAAAAGACAAATATTATTCATTCATTTAAGAAAATAATTAAATTACTATAAAATAATATAAAATAATGTTTTAGCCCATGATGGGGGGAAATATATTAAAGCCAACATATGATCCCCTTTTCTGCCCCAAGAATAGCTCGCCCCCCGCTCTGCCGCCTACTGAGTTTGCCTGAAAAACGTCGTCCCGGGTCTCCCCAAAAACCTTGACTCCATAGATTCCACCAAAAGCACCTCATCTTTTTCGTTCATCTCCATCCAACTGTAAGCTTGAGACAAGACAACTATCTCCTCCTGCCTCCAAGTTGTGCGATTGTTCTCCTTGTGTACACTCCTTTGTACTGTTGTCGTCGACCAACGATGATGGAATCGTTAAAAAGTTGTCACAAGAACAAAGCCTGAAAAATCATTTCTCCAAACTTACGTATATTGTAGCCTCTGTGTATGCTATCTTTCTCTTGTAAATCGCTGCCTCCACCCGAGTTGCTGAAGACCAAAGCTGATTGTGAATTCGTCCAAGAAAACTTGCGAGCAACGCTAGTAGCCGCAACTGTAACCCTAGGCCAAAGAGCCTCCCGTCCGCTAGCACAGTTTTTAGTTAAATCATTACTTTTTATTACTGTACATCAATTTTTACATAGTGCTCTCCAGATTTAGAATTTGTTATTATCTTTACTCCCGTTTTGAGAATTTTTTGAATAAGACATGACATCGTATGAAATTTAATTTCACCCGGCTAGTATGTTTCTTTATCCAATGTGATGTGCAAGGTGAGAAACATAAATGGAACTGCACCATTTTATGACGATAGAGTGGTGATGATCTCCCATTGAAGCCTGAATGAGGATGGTTGCAATGGTGAACGTGATTGTCATAATAGAAATAGATGAGGTTGTATACACCAAAGAGAAAATAATTATACCTCACTTTTATATATGTATGATTTGAGAAGTTTTATCTTTTTTTGTTAATTTTGCACATTAAACAACCAAAAGTACTATTTCGTGTCAAATAGTATGTATTAAAGTAAACAATGTTATGCAAAATCTAATGAATGATATTCAAAATTAAAAAACACTAATTATAAAATACTTGAGGATAACAAGTTAGTGAAAAAAGATCTAAATGTAAGTATGAAAAGAACATATTGTACTTTTGGTCCCACTTCTATTGAGTGATAGATACTTTTCATCCATAAAATTTATTTTTACGCTTTTGATATGTGACTGTAGTTTTGGACAATTATGATAAATTTTGGCTAATTATTTGACGAAAATTAATTAATTATTGTTTACAGAAACTAACATAACGAACAATTGGAGTAATCCCAAGATTCATGTATATTCATCGCTACTTAGAGCACCTCCAATAGAGATGTGGATTGTGGAGCTTTAAATGTGGACACATCACCACTTAGACAGACTATTAAGAAGATATGAGGCTTACATGGCTAAATAGATGATTAAACTAAAATTCACTCCAATGCACATGCAAGTTTTTATAATAAACTTCTCTAGTTTGGCTGTCGGAAAACCAAAATTACCTTGCTTTCCTTCGTATTCCAATTTCCAATCCCAGCACAAAGAGTCAAAGATCTGATAAAAACGTAACTTCAACAAGATCAATAACTGGCCACCACAACAAGCTTAAAAAATCCTATGATTCCTCTTCTCTCCCAACTGCTCTTCTTGATATCACCACTATGTCATTGTCAATTTCCATGGCAGCAGCGGCGAGCCGGCGACGGCCTTTAGCTCAGAGTACGGTGCGACGACCATGACTATGATTTGTGAAGATCTGCCATGCATACACTTCCCTCATGTGCGATCTCTCTAAACTACCGTGTGTGTATACGTCAATACGAAGGATTACGACATGGGTTGAAGCTGACGACTATTGGAGAAGTAGGCTATAAAATCTCGCATGAGAGGAGATGGGTTTTCTGGAAACACTATTTTTCTATTTAGGATTAATTGTATTGCTGCCGAATAAAATACTTCGTAGAGTTGAAATAAAATTGGATTGAGATAATAAGTTGTTGAGTCACGATGTGTGACACGCTTTCTAGAATCAGGAGTGCAAACTCAGAGCATCTTTAAGAGCATCTCTAATAGAGATGTGGATTTATGAAAAATGAATTGCCATCTAGATAAAATAGACATTTGATAAAAGTATTCTCTCCAATGGAACTATCTATTAATCACGAGTTGCTGAGTTGTACCGCACACTGTGAAACTCTCCGTCCACTTTGAGAAGGCCTGTTTCACAGCCAAGTCAACACAAAAAATACACACATTATATTAATGTCTACGGAAGTATTTCGCGACAACACTTTCTTTTTCTCTTTTTCTGCCCAAATTGTACGTTGATAAATTCCAAAGAACATTCCAAAGAACATCTTCATCAAAAGTGATCCAGACAGGCCAAATAGAAGTTTATCATCTCCCTCAGGCTCAAAGTTCAGAGTATTATTTAACTTACTTTTTAATTTGATAAACTACAAAAAAATACTACAAGCTAGGTATAAACCAAAATCATCGACCTCAACCCTAAGAATAATTTACAACCTATTCGATTTAGACGAAGCTTTTTCGATGTATTGATTTCAAATTCATTTTTTCTATAATTAGTGTTGCCTCTAATTTTGTTCTGCCTTAATCAAAGCGTTGATTCCTTTTTTATCTATAATTGGCTAGATATTTAATTTGTATTTAGTTTTCCTCCTGAGTTTTTTTTTGTTTTCACGCTAGTTCAGAAAAAAGATGGCAGACATGCGTTTCAGATATGCCTTTGGAGAAGAAAGGTATGAGAAGAGTTATGGGTAACCTGCGGCCGTTTGAAACAAATGGTAACATGCGAGTGTTTCTCATAGACTCATTCTTTTAACCGCATTGGAGAGAAAATACTTTGTGGATCCAAGTCAGCATCACAGCCCGTGTAGATGGTTGAGTGACCATTTTTTAGGGTAGATTCTATGGTACTCATAAGGTACCATACCTTTGTCCACATGGATCAATGAGAATGTTGCAGTTGAATTATTTAATTCTAAATTAAAAATGATATAATGATGTGGACCAATCAAGTGACAACTCCGTTATCCATTTAAAACGCGAGGTACCGTACCTGTCATTCACTTGATTGCTCCACATTATTATATCATTTTAATTTAGATTTAAATAATTCAACTGCAACATTCTCATGGGTCCATGTGGACAAATGTATGATACCTTAAGTGTACCATAGCTACCTTTTATAGAGTGCAATTCACGTCCCTATTGGAGATGCTCTCACAATGTGAGTATTTTAATGTGCCAACTCAGCACCACTTTTAATATGGACATCCGCGTTGGGGAGGATATTTAAGGGGTTTTGAAATGAATATTACTGATGGATAGTGTACCCGGGGGGTAGCTTATCCGGGGGATTATTGCGGGGAATAACAAGAGAGAAGTCAGAGCAAGTAAGTATAGAGAGAGAAAGTGTATTTAGAAAGTATGCAGCGTTTATGACTTGGTTACAAATGGGGAAATGGGGTGCTATTTATAGTAGCAATAAATGCCGGACAGGGACACGTGTCAAGCGTCCATTGGCCGAGAGGTCACCTCAACTGGTTGGCGCTGGCAACCGCATGTGGCCGCATTTAATGCGGCTGTTGGATGGGACGTTGTACAGGGTACGATGATCTGTACGCATGTGGCGCGGATATCATGTCGGGGAGGGTGCCCTCGGCTGCAGAGGACTAGTCGAGGGCTCTGAGTACCGGGGACCCCCTTGGTGCCGAGGGCTCCAGGTGCCGAGGGCTACTGTTTTTCACCGTTTTCCCCAGTAACTTTGTTTTGCTGTCTTGGCCCTCCTGTGAGAGTTAGAGCCTTCGGCCAGGGGGCCGAAGGCACCCCTGGTGCGTATTTGTGGGCTGCTTGGTATCTTGGGCGCCGTGATTTGGGCCTGTTGTGCTCTCTGGGCCTGTTGGGCCTTTATTGGAGTAGTAGGAGTCTGTGGGCCGGGGGTTCCCGGGCCATATACTCCATCAGGAGTCCCTCACTCCTTTTGTCGAAAGGTACTTGAGGGAAAAGGGGTAATAGTGTTTGTCCTCTGCCGTTGTTCCGTTTGTAGTTTGTAGAGTTGTGGGTAGTTTGCTGTTTGTTTATTCTGCCGAGGGCAGTACCTCAGTTACCCACATGTCGGGACTTGAGGGGTCATGTTTGTGATTTTTGTGATTTTTCCCAAGGGGGTCCTCCAGTCCCCCACTCCTTGAGGCACTTGCAAAGTGGTGAAAAGGAGTAGAGTAGTTGCGTTGCTGTTGCGGGCCGAAGGCTGACGCTTTTTGTTTCATTTTGGGGTGATGCCTCGTTAAAAACCTCATTAGGAAAAACCCTGTGGGAAAAAAATCCTAATGAGGGAAAAAGAGTGCACCGAATTCCCCCAACGATGAATCGAAAATGTGAAACCTTGGTTCAAAATGGAGAATATGATGATGCCGAAGGCTCTCCTTGTTCTGAGGGTTCATGTGTTGATTGGCCGGAGGCTTGTTGTTGATGTCCTGGGAGGTACCGAAGGGGGGTCCCTCAATCTGGGGATCGAGGGCTTAATGAATGCGGTTAGTAGGTGAATTGTTACCGGGGTGTCCCCTGTTTGTTGACTAGTTGGTGATGAAAATATCTGAGGGCTCCCATTACCTGTGTGTCGTAGGCTATCCGTCAATGAGGCATACTCCCCGGGGGCTACCCGGCCCTCACAGTGCTGAGGGGGGATCCCCGAGGGGTGGCCTGATATGAAGCCTTGGGCTTCTGAAGGAGTGATCCCGAAGGCATCTGTTATGTACTGTGAGGGGCACAACCCGGGAGTGTCTCTGGGTAAGTGTACCCGGAGGCTTTCCTTGGTGAAGTGGAGTGAAGTAAAAAAAACCTGGGGGCTCCTAGAATATAGCCGTTGGAAATATAGCCGTTGGAATATGTAACGTCAGGATATAGCCGTTGGGGGGGTTGTCACGTGGTGCGTTATCGTTGGCTGCCCGTGGGCGGGCGTCACCGATTGGGTGAAACCTCGGTTGGTAATGATGGCAGTCCAACCGGAGGCCCGGTTTCCAGGCCCAAGCCCGGATCCCAGCGCCTATAAATACCCCATGGCCGGTTTCCTTCCCCTTGTGCGAAATCATTATAGCAAAGCTCTGCCAAAATTTCTAGAGAGAGAAACAGCAGCCCTCGATCAATCCCTGCCTTAAGGTCAGTTCCCCCTGCTCTTCTCGTTGTAGTTAGCTGTGCCTTGTGACCTTAGACTAGGAGATAGAACTTTTAGAGAACTCTAGTATTTCCGAGCCCTCGAACCAGTGCGAAGATGTCTTCCCAAAGTGATTCCCAAGACATCTCGGGGGCGCCCTCGGTGGCGGATGAAGTCTTTTCGGACGTGGAGTCCTCAAGCGAACAGTCCTCGGTGGGACAGGATGCCGTCGTCGCCCTGGAGCTGCAGAAAGCCCTCGTTGTTGAGGCGGAAGCCGAGGGCTTCGAACAGGAGTGTGAAGATGAAGAGCTGGCCCTCGCCTGGCAAGCAGCTGAAGAAGAGGCGCAAAAAGAAGGCGCGAGGGTCACTGTTGCTGTTCTCCCCCCTCGGGGTACCGGCGAGGCCATCACCTCTCGACCGCTGAACGCGGTTCCCATCCGGGTGGCCCCCGGAAAGAAGAAGGCGAAAGTGGCTGCCCCCAAGAAGAAAGGCAGTGTTGCAGACCAAGGGAAGCCCCTCGATATGCCCGAGGGGTATTCCTACCTAAATACCGCCGCCTTAGAAATAAGGTCGAAGGCTGATGCGGCGGATCTATACGTCACTCAACTACATGTGGGCCCTTCGGCCATTGTGGTGACACCGGGTCCCGATGACGTCCTCTCCCGGGCTCCCGAGGGCTGCATCGCGGTGCATGTCGTGTCTGTTTCGATGGGGCTCCGGTTCCCCCTACACCCCTTCCTCCGGGAGTACCTCCGATTCGTAGGTTTGGTCCCCTGTCAGCTGACCCCGAACAACCATTCCTACATAACGGGCTTCCTCCAGCTCTGCAAGTCCCGGGGGGGTAACACCTAGCCTGGACCTCTTCTTCCAGAGCTTCAACCTGTGCGGGGGGGGGGGGGGGCATGCGAATGCCGAGGGCTTCTCAAACTTGCAGCAGGTGGCCCTGTTCAAGCTTTTTACTGAGGCGCCCTCCTCGAATAAAGGGTGGAAAGACCGGTGGTGCTATGTGAAGTTGACCGAGAGCCCCTTCCCGAGGGAATTGCGTGACCGGTTCAGGAGGCACGAGAAGAGGAGGAGCGCCGCCCTCGAGAAAGACGGCAGGATCCTGGCCAAGATCCCGGAGGGCTGGGACAAAAACATAACCATTAAGGAGTGCACCAAAGAGGAGGATCTCTACACCCTCGGGTTCCGGCGGTATCGCTTCCTGGGGGAAACAGATGAGAAGTTCCCGGTGTTTGAGGGAGCCTCCGGAGGTAGTGGCTGAGGGCACCCTCACTTTTGTATCTTAGCAGATAGTTTATCTGTTTGTTAGTTTCTTTTTTGTGCCATCTGTTAGTAACCCCTCGGTTTTAACCCCACAATGTTTTGCAGGTATCCCAGTCAACATGATGAACGTCAGGGGGCTCGCTGATTTGAAGAAGAAAAAGCCCTCCAAGGCCCCGAGGGGAACGGATGCTGGTGTCCCGAAACCCGCCGGTGACTTCTTCAAGAAGCCGGAGGGGCCATCTGCGGCCCCAAATACTGATGCAGCTGCCGCTGCCAAGAGGAAAGGCACGGGCAAGGCTCCCGAGAGCAAAAAGCCCAAGACCAGGGATGCCGGGAAGAAAAGCCCCCCCGGTGGTCATTGTTGACGATTGCCCCGCCTCCGGGGTGCACGAGGAGATGCCGGTGGTGAAAGTGCCAGGGGGTGTCCGGGAGCCATCTTCCGAGGTCCTGACGGTCTCCCTCCCGGTTGGTACGGCCGTGATGAATGGCACGGCTGACTCGAGGGCGCTTTTGAGAGGTATAACCCTCGAGATTGACAGAGCAGCCCTCGGGGCTGATGATGACCAAGCCCTTGAGGACAGGATCCTCCGGTCTTCCCTCACGGTAAGTTTTTTTCGACAGTTTACCGTTTTTTGTTTGAGCTAGGAAATAATGTACGACCTTCCTAACTTCTTTTCTTTTTTGTAGACTTGCATTGCCCTCGGAGAGCAAGCCCGGCGGCTAGAGGAGTGGCGTCTTCGCAAGGCCGAGCATGGTGCTAAGATGCGAGAGCTCATCCCCCAAAATTCCGATGTCGTCCGGCAGATGGCTACGCTGGAGGAAAGCCTTCGGCAGATGACCCTGCGGGCGGAGGCCGCAGACCGGGGCAAGGCCGAGGCTGAAAGGTCCGCAGCTGAGGCCCTTGAGAGAGCTGCTAGGGAGGCCGAGGCCGCCAAGGTGGAGGCCGAGACCGCTAAGGTGGAGGCCGTCGAGAGAGCGCGAGGGGACGCCATCTCTGGGTTCTTGGCAGGGGGTGGCGAGCTGAGGAGCACAAGCAATGGTTGTCCTCGGTCGTCGAGTCCTCGGTCGACGAGTGGTGCGACGGGCCTGGAGTGGAGTGGGTTTCCCGAAAGGGTAAACAGTATTATGATGGGGGCGAGTTTTTCACCCAAGCCCTCATCTACCGGAGGATGGCCCGCCACCTGAAGATTGAGCCAAAGGATTTCGACCCGGCGGCATACGGGCTTCCCCCTGCAGCCAGACGTCCGAGTTCCTCTCCCCTCCGATGTCGAGAGGCCAGACCTGGAGGACACCGAGCTCATGAAGGAAGCCGAGGGTGACGAACCTGAGGTCGATGCAGAGGTTACTTCGAAGCCATCGGAGGAGACGGCCCCCGGGAATGTTAACTTGTAATTTTTTTTGATTTAACATGTTTTGAACAATCCTTTTGTAACGAATGCTTGTGTGCCCTCGGCCTTCGGCCCTCTGTAACTTTGAATTTATTTTCTTTGGTGAATGAATACTCGCCCCCGGGCTTTTGGTATATAATGTGTTTCTCTTTAATTCTATTCTTCTCGGATGTATGCCATCGTTTTCTTTTGAATGTATGCCTTCGCCCTTCTTTGAATGTATGCCTTCGCTTGTCTGAATGTATGTTTAGGACTTAGGATATATTCTTCCGGGTGTAGTGCTTCTTGTAGCCCTCGGCTACCAGTAATCCTTAGTCAGTTGATCCTTTTACCGAGGGCACAATGCTCAGGACTTACAAAATATTTCTAAGTGTTTGTTCATCTGTTGGCCCCCGGCTGATCCTTCCCTCCGGTTCTATGTAGCCTTTTTGAGATGACCGGAGGTGAGGTGCTTAGGACTTAGAAAATTCTTCTAAGTGTTTGAACACAGTTTTAACCTTCGGTAGTTGGGCACCCTTCGCTGGATGTATGGCCGAGGGTCGATTCCTGGGTAAAATACACCATGACCTGCCTCCCCTTGGGGGATGGCGCGGAAAGCGCCTCATTTTTTAAAGTCGTCCCCTCGGCGCTAGACATAGTCTGTGGCCTGCCACACCGTTGGGGGGTGGTGGCGCGGGGAGCGTTTCGGTTTGGAAGTCGAATCCTGGGCATTTCTCGTGCCTGTCATACCCTTGGGGTGATGACGCGGAAAGCGTTCCGTTTTGAAAGTCGAATCCTGGGCATTTCTCATGCCTGTCATACCCTTGGGGTGATGACGCAGAAAGCGTTTCAGGGAAGGGTTTTCATTTGCACACTAGTTGCAAATGGACGGGTGCACTACGTGCTGCCGGCACCGAGAGGTGGCGCCTTCGGTATAGGCGTCCTCGAGGGGTACGACTTAGAAACAACACTTGGTGTTTGTTCCGATTTACGGCCCCCGGTACTTGGTACCGAGGGGTCTTCTGTGGAAACACTTGGTGTTTCTCCCCGATTGTTGAAGAGGATTGTGTTATCTACCCGCGGTACTTGGTACCGAAGGGTCTTCTGTGGAAACACTTGGTGTTTTCTCTCATTTGTTGAAAGCTGCTAGTGACATGTCCCCCCGGCACCAGGTGCCGAGGGTTTTCCTGGTGGGGACAGGTGGTGCTTTGCTGTAGGTGATAATATCCTCTGCCCTCGGCACTTGGTGCCGAGGGTTCTTCTATTGTGGTGAGGCCTTGGGCCTGGGGGTGGTACGAGGGCTTGGCCCTTGTGATAATCTTGTTCCGTGTTCTCGGTGTCTTCAAAATGCCTTCATTCTTCAAAATTCTTTAGGCCTTGGGCCGTAAAATAATACATTCACTAGTTATGAGGGCTTGGCCGCTCTGATGTTATTGATAAAATTTAACTAAGTGATGTACATTCCAGTGCCTAGGGACTTCGGTCCCGTTAGGGCGTTTTAGCTTGTAAGTTCCTGGTTTGATGATGGCTGCCACGATGTAGGGGCCTTCGAATTTTGGTGCCATCTTTCCGCCCTCGGTTGGTTGGCTAGCTTCCCTTCTTCGGAGGACATAGTCCCCCATTTGGAATTCCCTGGAGCGAACCTTGGCGTCAATGTAACTTTTCACCTGCCTTCGGTAGTTCTCTGCGCGTATGAAGGCTTGCTCCCGGCGTTCCGAAATAAGGTGGAGATCGAGGGCCATATTGGCGTCGTTGGCCTCCGGATCATACTGTGTGACCCTTCGGGTTGGGAGAGTTACCTCAGTGGGGGCTTTGGCTTCAAATCCGTAGCAAAGGGAGAAGGGTGTCTCACCAGTTGCCCGCCGAGGGGTTGTACGGTAGGCCCATAAGATGTTGTGGAGCTCTTCTACCCAACCACCCCCTTCGGCCTCCAGCTTCTTCTTTAGGCCCTCGAGTAATGTTCTGTTGGCGTTCTCCACCTGTCCGTTGCCCTGAGGGTAGGCAACGGATTAGAAGGTGTGTTTGATGCCTCATGCCTCTAGGAGGGCACAGAAGGGGCTGCCTCAAACTGAGTCCCATTGTCGGAGATGATTTGCTGAGGGACGCCAAACCTGGTGAGGATGTTCTTGAGAGCAAAGTGATGGCACCTGGCCTCAGTGATGCTGGCGAGGGGCTCCGCTTCCACCCATTTGGTGAAGTAATTGATGGAGACAATGATGTACCTGTTGTTGGAGGTACCCCTCGGCAGAGGGCCCACAAGGTCTATGCCCCATCGAGCGAAGGGTATGGATGTGCTGATGGGGGCATAGTTGACCGCTGGCTTGCCGGGGGCTTTCTGGAAGTGTTGGCACGCGGGACACCTCCGGGCAAGGTCCGCACAATCCCGGGCCATTGTAGGCCAGAAGTAGCCCTGGATTATCAGCCTTCAGGACATGGAGAAGGGTCCCTGGTGAGCCGAGCAAGTCCCACTGTGCACTTCCTCCATTGCTACTTCGGCTTCATCTTGATGAAGGCACCGAAGTAACGTCCCATTGTAGGATCTTTTGTAAAGCCTTCCGTCCTCGATAGTGTAGCTGGGAGCCCTCATCTTTGCCAGCTTGGCGCGGGCCTCATCCTCGGGACAGTTGCCCTGTGGTGATGAAGGCAACAATGTCTGAGATCCAGTCCTCCTGTCTTTGTTGTATGTTCATGACGGGGCTAGCATGTATGCTGGAGAGGCTGAGTTCTTCTATTTTGGCGATCTTGGAGATGTGCTCAGGGGATTCTGCCGAGAGCTTTGATAAAATGTCGGCCTCGGAGTTTTGAGCCCTCGGTATTTGAGTAAGAGAGTGAGCCTCAAATACCTTAAGCAACTCCTTGGCCGCCTCCTTGTATTGCTTCATTCTCCCTTCCTTGGCCTCGTACTCCCTGGAGATTTGGCGGACGACCAACTTGGAGTCGCACTTGATGTGGATTTGTCGGGCCTTCATGTTAGCTGCCAGCCGAAGGCCACAGAGGAGAGCCTCGTATTCGGCTTCATTGTTGGAGACTTTGAAGGAGAAACGGACTGCATAATAGGCCCGGAAGCCCTCGGGTGAGATGAGAACCACCCCTCTTCCGCATGCCTTGATGGCGGAGGAGCCGTCGGTGTAGAGGATCCACCAGTCATCTGAAGGGGCCGAGGGCTCCTCATCTGTGGCTGCCCTCGCCGTACACTCCGTCATGAAGTCCGCTAGGGCTTGGCCCTTGATGGCGGGCCTAGGACGGATGTCGATGTTGTATTGGCTCAAGAAGACAGCCCATTTTACCAATCGGGAGGAGCTAGTGGGGCTCCTCATCAAGGCGCCGAGGGGTTGGTGAGTGAGGACCTGGACCGGGTGAGCCTGGAAGTAATGGCCCAACTTCTTGACGGTCCACACGATAGCCAACACTGTCTTTTCCACGGGGGAGTACCGGAGCTCCGCTTCCCTGAGGGTCTTGCTAACATAGAAGATGGCATGTTGGATGCCATCCTCTTCCCGGATGAGTACAGAGCTGATGGCAGCCGGGCTAACACCCAAGTAGAGGTACATGATTTCCCCTACCTTGGGTTTAGAGAGCACAGGGGGCGAAGATAAGTATCGTTTCAGCTCCTCGAATGCCCCCTGACATTCTGAAGTCCACTGGAAACCGGCGGTTTTCCTCATGATCTGGAAGAAGGGTAAGGACTTCTCCGCCGATTTTGATAAGAAGCGGTTGAGGGCTGCCAGGCGGCCCGTCAACCGTTGGACCTCCTTCACGTTGCGTGGGGGCTCCATGTTGATGATGGCCTGGATTTTCTCGGGGTTGGCCTCAATACCCCTTCGGCTAACCATGTAGCCCAGGAATTTTTCCCCCTGGACGCCGAAGGTACACTTCTTCGGGTTCAGCCGAAGGCTAAACTTGTGCATGATGGCGAAGATCTCCCTCAGGTCGTCAGCATGGTTTGCTGACTGCTTGCTTTTGACGATCATATCGTCAACATATGCCTCCATGGTGCGCCCTAGGACAACTTGAAATACCCTGCCCACCATCCGAGTGTAGGTGGCACCTGAGTTCTTTAGGCCGAAGGCCATGACAAGGTAGCAGAAAATGCCCTCGGGAGTCATGAAGGCTGTTTTTTCAGCGTCCTCCTCATGCATGTATATTTGATGATATCCGCGGAATGCGTCGATGAATGACATGATTTCACACCCCGCGGTTTCATCCACCAGTTGATCAATATTTGGCAGAGGAAAGGGGTCCATGGGACATGCCTTGTTGAGATCCGTGTAGTCCACGCACATGCGGAATGAGGGCGGTTTTTGTGCGAGGACAACGTTTGCCAACCATGAGGGGTATTTCACCTCCTTGATGTGCTTGATAGAAAGAAGCATGGCGACCTCCTTCTTCACAAATTCCCTTCTCTCGGCCGAGAGGGGTCTCCTCCGCTGTTGTACTGGTTTGGCCGAAGGGTCCACCGAGAGGCGGTGGGTGATGACCCTTCGGCTGATCCCCGGCATGTCCTCCGGCCCCCATGCAAAAACAATGGAGTAGGCGCGGAGGGCGCTAATGATGCCGGTCTTCAAACCTTCGGGGAGCTTGGCTCCAATCTTCACGACTCTCTCAGGCTTGACCGGATCGAGCGCGAAGTCTTCTACCTCCTCGGCTGGTTCAGCCCTCGGCCTTCTTTCTTCTGCTTCCACAGTTCCGGTGATGGTGTCAACGCGGAAC